ATGTTTTGTATTACGCAAATAGTAAGGTAAATGAAGGATATTACTATTATTGTAGTGAGTGTTATATGACAGTTTCTGACAAATAAAAACGTGCTAAGAATATCAAGTTTCAAATAACAAAAAATAGTATTTTAAATTTTTTTATAATAAAGTATATGCTATTACGATTTTTTCATTATATAAAGTCACGTGATAAAAAATTTTACTATAAAAAAAAATCATGAGTTTTTGGTAAAAAATTGAGGCGGTCGGGTCACGAGAATCTAAAATTTTTTTTGCCCGGCCTAATAATAATATTTTTTTTACAATTTAATAATTTATAAATGTGATAATAATTATTAAGCATTGATATATACTAATTTTAATAACCATAAAGTAATTTGATTTTTATAAATTTTGTGATTTATTAATTTTATTGAAATGTATTTAATTTTTGACGATTATAAATTCACTTTAATTAATACCGTTGTCATGTGACTTATATCATCTGCTGCAGTAAGAACTTCTTTTCTGAAAAGCAGATACTAATTTTATGATTCAGTTCTTTCTTACATAACAATTGAAAAAGAAAATCAACTGCTATGTTTTTTGGATAATATAATAAAGATGTGGAACAAGATGATGTAAAGAAAGAACAATTATCTGATTTTGAAAAAAGAAGCATCAATGATCATTATTAGTTAATTATTTTCTTAATATTGAAATTAGACTATTGATATTTATATGAAAATCAGAATTGATCTTATTGACAAATCTAATATTTGTAGAAATTTGATATATAATTTTAAATTTTCGAAAGTTGAAGACATAAGTTTGTATCATGATTCTGAATTAAGCGAAATGAATTTTCATATAGAAAGTTAATTTATTTAGAAAATTTGAATGAATTTTATATGATTTATTAATTATAAATAGAATTATAATTATTAGCATAAATCTAAAAATTATATCTTCTAAAATAATATATTAATTAAAAGGATTAGTAATCTTTAATAAATTTAATAAATTTCATTTTGCTATGCATTAAATAATACAAGTAATAATAAATTTTAGATTTTAGTATTTTTCATAATAGAATTTTGAAAGCCAATTAAAAATATCTTACTTTTACTATAAATTACAATAAAATTTCTGAAGTAATTTTATGAATAGTTATTTTTTTCATAAAAAATATAAATGTTTATTAATGAAAAAAAGCAGATTCATATAAGATACATAATTAACTTATTAAACATTGATTAATGCTAGATAATGCAGTATCTGTAAAATATTAAAAAAAAATAATTTTCTTTTTCTTATTTAGTATATTTAGCATAACTTATATATTTATTATTTGTTACATTTATTTAAAATTTTCAAATATTTATTTTTTATAAAACAGTTAACCATTATCAGTTATTTTAGAAATTTTTAAATTTTTTCTATTATATTAAAAATAGCCACCAAAATTTATGTGATATTTGCAAAGTATATCTATATAAAAAATTATATATAAAAAGTAAGTATAACAGCTATTTTGTCAAAATGACTTTTTAATATTTTTCTTACTTATAGTTTATACTTGCATAAAAATTTTAAATGTATATTTATTAATAACATTTATATTAGTAGCTATTTTCCAGTTTATTATATATATTTTTTTGAATTCTATATACAGTTAACTCTTAATATAATGAATTATGATATAACAAATTTCACAATACAACGAATTTTTAGTATGGTACAGATTTTTTATATTAAAAAAATCTTGTTATAACAATTTTTACTAGTTAAAAGCTATATAATAATGTATGAAGAAAATTTTATAAATATATATATATATCGACTCTTTTTAATAAATTTATTTATAATGAACTCTTTTTTTGATTCAATAAAGATTTTAAAAAACATTAAAGAAAATTACAACGCAATAAAAGAAAATAAAGAAAAAAGGAATAAAGTAATATAATACTTAAATTTAATAGTAATAACAATTAATCTAAGTATTAGCATGCTGATTCCTAAATGACATCTATGTCAAAAAGGACAGATAAAAAAACTATGATTTCTAGAATTATGTTGAGCTATTAATAAATTATAAAGATACACAATATATAGTACGTTATGTTGTATATATATGTTATATTTCAGATTGATTCTTACTTCAGATTATAACTGACGCACCTTAGATTATAATCGTCAGAGATACGTGATTTGAATCAATAATCATCTGAAATACTGCAGCTGTAATCTGAGATAATCTAGTCAATTATAGTCAATGTGTATTTAGTCAATCATAAAAAAAGTTTATTTTTATCAAAAATAAAGTATTAAAAAATTTTTTTTAAAAAATTTTCATTTTTATTTTTTGAAAACAAAATTATAATTTTTTTTAAAGAAACAAAAAAAAACAAGATCTTTAATATAATAGAATATGAAAAATGTAATTTTATAATTTTATAATTATAAAATAAATTTCAATTAATAAAACTGTTATGCACAAAAAATATAAAAAATGTAAAAAAGTATTGTAAATTTTCTATTTTATTTAATTGTTTTATATTAAGCCTTAATACTTTGAAAATTAATTTTGCAATGATATTTGTTATTATTACAATCACTTTTACAGTTACATAAACCCCTGATATTGACTATATACTTTAAAGCTGTGAAGCTTCTCTTATTGATATTTTATCAGAAGGAATATTTTCTAATTCAGGAAAAAATATTGTTCTAAGTGGTTCTAACTCACCAACAGAATAATAGATTTTAATTATTCCAAACTTTGATCTAACTTGATATTTATCTTCAATTTTTTTCATAATTCTACATGGAATAGTAGGATGATTAGTACTAAATCTATCAATTTTAGAAATAGCTACTCTTACAAGATCTTTAACCTGATGTTCTATAATTCATTTTTTCTTTTTATTCATTTGGTTTATCATTTTATTTCTATAATCCTCGAGATCTTGACAAGCAGTTCTTCTCAAAATTTCATGTCCTGTAATTGTAACTAGTGTTAAATTTTATTTGTAATATTAAGAAAAATAGAATCAATAACGCGATGGTAAAAATCTAAAATATAATTATAATTAAATAATTAGTTAATAAAAAAAGTATACTTTGTTTAATTATAATATCCAATGTTTATAATACTAATAATAAATAAAATAATAAAATTTAAGCATAATAATAAATAAAAATAAAGTATTTATAAATACTTATTAATGTTACAACTGATACCGCTAATACTGATTATGCTAGTTGTGCTGATGGTATTAATGGTATTAATGATACTACTGATACTGATTATGCTAGTTATACTGATGGTATTAATATTGCTAACTGTACTGATTATAACAATGATGCTAATGGTACTAATAGTATTGATGATATTATAAGTGCTAATAGTACTAATAATGTTAATAATATTAATGATTCTGATAATGCTAATAATACTAATAGTGCTAATAGTACTACTGGTACTGTTAATGCTAATGGTGCTAATATTACTAAAAAATCGAAATAAAATAAATTAAATTAAAATTGTTAATTTTAAAATATTTTTACCTTATTCAATAATAATAATTAATAAAAAAATCTAACCTTGTCCAAATACTATATTATCATCTAAATTTTCAATATAATTATCAAATATTTATATAGTATCTAGAATATTTTCTTTATCGTGAATACTATTTTAAATAAATTATCAACTAATATATAATTACCATGCAGTTTAGATTTATAAACAAGTTCATATAGAGTTTTTTTATAAGATCAACACTATGAATAATTCATAACCAAAATAATAAATTTAAGATCAAAAGATCAATCATTTTATTTAGTATCTTCTTTTCACTTTTCTAATTTTTGTTATAAAATTCTATTAGCACGTTCAACTAGACCTTGAAATTATGAATGTCAAAAACATCTATTTATAATCTTTACTGATAGCCATAATTTAATTAATTCCTTAATTACTTCTGTACAGAATTCCTTACTATTGTTTAATTGTAATATAATTGAAAAGGATTCTATAAAATGAAAAAAAATTAAAAGATATGCAGCAACTTCTACTGTTTTTTTCAAAATGAGAGCCTTAGCTCATAAAAATCTTATAAAATAACCTTATACATGACATATATATTTAAATTCCCCATCAGCATCATATGATAAATCAATAAGATTAATCTAAAAAAAATAAATAAATTAATAAATTAAAAAAAATAATATATTACACATATTGTATAATTATTAACAAATTTTTCTATAATGTTTAGCTTTATCCAACCCAATTTTTTTATAATTGATTTTTAAGTTTGTTTTAGTCATCCATATTATGTAACTTCAGCATGAGTTTAGTATAAAACTTCATATATATTTTCAACTACTAATACTAGATTATTATTTGCTTTTACAATAACTTTATAATCATCAGACGTTATTTCCTTAAGCTTGAACTTTTTCTTAATCTAGTTTTGTATATTTTTATTGCAAATATTATGATCTTTTGGGTTTAATAACACATTTTTAATTTTATTCAAAAGTTCAAGATTAATTAAAGCCTTTTCTTATTTAAAACTGAAAGGCTTATTATATAATGTTTAATTATTTCATTAAAAGTATTTTTGCCAATAAAAGTATATTCCATTATGAGATGTATAATACAATATTCTAAAAAACATGTACTTTAAATACTGTAACGTGATATTCAATTTTAAACATATTTTTTTCTTTATTTTATTTAAAAAATATGTGCATTTACTATAATTGACTAGATTGCCTCAGATTACAGCTGTGGTATCTTAGATGATCATTGATTCAAATTACATACCTCATCTGATAATTGTAATCTAAGAAGTATTAGTTATAATATGAGGCAGAATCAATCTGAGACACATTATATATGAATTATAAAAATTTAGTATGTAGATTTAAGTATTCAAAGAAGATAAATAAATATTCATTATTATATGAAGATAATCATAAATAATCAGAATTAGTGATATTAATGAATGACTTATGCAACAACTCATATAATAGATTGTAATTGCAAAAGTAAAGAGCAAATGTTAATATTAAACCTATTCTTAGTATATATGTAAACTTGTAATATATTTTTAAATATATAAAAAAAATTAAACCTAAATTAATAACATTCGCAAATGTATTTAAATAGATTTTAAAGAAAAGTAATTCAGATGAAAGTTCATTTAGCTCAATTCAAAAAATTTTATTAAATAGTATTGTGAAGAAGAATATATTTGTATAAGAAACATATTATTTACTCCTTAGTATACCATTACATCATTTAAATAGAAAGAATGTGATAATAAATCTAAATGAATAGATGTCAAAGTGGATAATAGGAAAAAACAGAAATAATGAAGAGCAGAATATAAGATAAATCACATAATTAGCCTTAACAAATATTGAGATCATAGTAAAATATTAAAATATTTATTATATAGGTTAAATCTGATTTATAAGTATGTGAAAGGGAATGGCAAAAACGCAAGAAAAAAAATATAGTTAAATATATTTATGACTATTAGAATTATGTAACAGAGATCAATAGAAGAATTTTTGCTAAGTCAAGGTTCTATTTCAAGTTTTACACTAAAATATAAATTAATTTAATAGCAAAATTCTATATTTAAACATATATAAATAATATGCTAATATAATCAATTTTATCAATAATTCACTAAGACAAAAATTTGAAGAAGAATTAAAAATAAGTGATAAAAAAAGTTTTGATAAAATGGAAGAATAGGAAGAATAGAAATACTATTACAATTGAATATATTTGATAAAGATAAGTTCAAATATGCATATACAAACTAATATTGATATAGATACATGAGATATAGATCAGAAATACAATTAGATCAATGATGTCTAATAATAATATTTGAATGAAAATATAGTAAATGTAAAGAAATTTATGCGTCAAGTGGCTGATAACAAAATTATAAAAGTATAGAAAAGGATAATGAGATTAAGTATAATAATTTAAATATAAAGAAAAAATATTTAAAAAAATTAAAATATATTAAAACAATGCTCTTTTAAGTAAACAAGATAAGCCATTAAAGATAATAATTATAGTATCAACAGAGCAATTGACTAATCATAATGAAGTCACGTGAATGACGCAGTATGACGATCTTCTAATTCAGAATTCTGAAAATACTAAGAATTTTACGAATTCTGAAAATACGAAAGATCTACGTAATTCTAAAGATCTTCTAAATACTGAAGATAATCCTAATTTTACGAATTAAATAAAGTCTAGAAATACTTAGTATTATACTTATTTTTAATATTCTAATTTTTATTATTATTTTTATTATATTTTATATTTTTATTATTTTACGTTGTTACTATGGGTTCGTGGCTTCAAATAAAATCTTAAAAGGGGTAAATAAAACTAAGACAATTACTCAAGAAATCACAGGTGAGGATTCACAATAATATCAAAGGATTATTCTTAATATAAATCACATAAGATAAACACAAAATAAATACAAAGTTAACTCAAAGATATTTCAGAGATTACGCTTTAGAGACTCTAAGTCAATACAGCGAATCAATACAATATCATATAATAAGTTTACTAACAGAAGGGATTGCACGAATGCAAAGGGTCACAGATAATTTATAACAGTTTCAAAGGGTTGTGAAGGATAAGTTTTATACTTGGTTAATTATACTTCTTTATTAATATAATAAATAAGTTCGGTACCTAAAAGATTAACATCTCGTCGGTTACCATTGCCAGAAAGGTAATTAGACTTAATAAAAATACAAAGATATTTATACATGTTAAATAAATAATAAAATAAACTAAACTAAATATATCAAAGGAAATAAAGTTGCCATTTCGCTAGGCAATAAAGTTGCCGTGTCAATAAAATTGCCAGATCTGCAGGCAACTAAATGGACATCTTGATCTACATGATTATCAAAGGCAATAAAATTGACATCTAATGATTTACATAATTGATCGACGGCAATAAAATGGACAAATTGATCTTCATAAAAGAACTACATGGCAATAAAATGGACTTCATATTCTACCAATTAAATCTATCTAAAATTTCACCCGTCACAACGTTATGGGTACAAAACCACCATCTATATAAAGAATCCGATCCCACGGTCTCAGTAATTATCAATAGGGTAAATTCCTATAAAATTAGATTGGTAAAAATAGGGTATGACAAGCTCTATGGTTGAAGTGAGCCCTCTATCCAAAAGATGATAGTACCTGGCGGTCTAGTGAGCTTGTAATAGCGGGTATAACTGTTATAGGTAGTCTAACTAGGTGGCAACTGACGGGGATGTGCTTCTAATGCTGGGTTGCCGTACCCCTTAACTGAGGATCGGAGACTTAAAAGGGTCATGTTGAGGGTAACTTTACTTAGTAAATAGATATTCCTCCTAATGTTCTCTTAAGCCATCGCATATTAATAGAAAAAAAAAAAAAAAAAAAATCATTACGATAGATCGTATAGTAATACCAGTGTAATACCGAAATAGGACGCGTCTTTTGGATAGCTTAAGTGGTGCAACCCTATTTTCATATATATAGTATATACTTCCTATTTCTCCCTTTCAAAAATTTGAAATAGTGGGTTGTTTTGTCTTCTCTTAATTCAGAAAAGTTTTTTTTACATGTACCATATATAGAATATATTATGGAAGGAGGTAAGTGAAGAAATGTTTTTATGTCACAAAACTTTTTCAGGAAAAATTACTATGTTGAAGGTCTACTAATTCCGGAGGAGGAATTAGTTATGTACCTCCCTTCGTAACAAACATAGAAATAGATTCCTGGGAGTACTCACGCTCACGTTCACGCTCATGTTCATATGCTCACGCTCACATTTACGCTCATATGCTCACGCTTATATACTAACGCTCACGCTCATATACTAACGCTCACGCTCATATACTAACGCTCACGCTCATATGCTCACGCTCACGCTTATATTCACGCTTTACATTTTTGTGTCATGATTATGTTTCTTACACTTTCACTTTTTTTATCCTATATTTAGACCTCAAGAAGCGAAATATAACTCTCTAAGCAATTCTGTGTTCATAGAAGGTCAATTAACCGGCAAAAGCAGTCAAGAGATAAAAGATTTCATTTCACACGTCCTCAAAACACTAAATAATCTGTATGGACATGCACATTTTAAAACTGAGAATGATGCCGGGATTTTTTACCAACGTGTTCAAGGGCAAGAATTTGCTT